AATAAATTTAAACCTTCCGAGTGTATTGGCCTATAGAAGTGAGATTGTTCATCGAGCTTTCTAGGGAAAAGATAGGAGATGGATTCCGTATGAACCAATTCTAGCTTCATGATCCCATGTTCCAAAATTTTGAAAAAAAAAACTAAGCATTTTTTTCTTTTCTAAAATGAAAGATTCATAGAATTTAGATTTAATAGATTTTAAATCTAGGAATTCACATTAGTAATGGAGACCAAGCCGCCTAGAATGCATTAAAATTCACATTAAATCCTTTAAAAATCCATATCACACAAAAAGCAAGTGTAATAGAAGAATAACCCTATCTAAAACTAGAGTTATTTATCCAATAAAAATAATATGCAATATGTGAGACAAGCTGTATGGTTTGGATATGTCCTAAATTGGTTTATTTAATGATTGGTTTTATTTGTTAAGTCTTTACTGCCTTTGTATAAACAAGGGCAGTGAGATTTATTTCATCCTCCTTAGGAATAACATAATAACCTCGAAGGCCTTAGTTGCCTTGTAGTAACCAATATTATTTTACTAAAATTTTAGTTTAAGTTAATGAATAATCATTTTAATGGTTCATTATTGATTTGATTGATTAGATAAATGGTTTGTTAAAAGTTTACCCATTTATTGAATTTTAGTATCTTATGGAATATTTTAATTCATCAAATAAAGTGTCTATTTTTTATTTTTTTAATTTATGATAATTTATGGATTTTTTATATTTTTAATAAATATAAGACACTAATATGAGTAAAATGAATTTAATATTGTTAGATTTGAATTTTTTAACAATTAGTTATAATTTTTTAAAGTTTGAGTATGTTTTTGAACTAAATTTGACGAAAGAGTTAACTTTTTAACTTTTAATGAATTCTAGAAATTTTGTATTTTTGTAAATATTAGACACTGAGAGGAGTCCAATGCCTTTTTGTTTTCTTAGAAGTTTTCTAGAATTAGGTATAAATTTTTGATGTTTTGATATTTAATTAAATTATTTAATTAAGGAGGTTTCCTCATTATTGCACCAAACCCACTCTAAACCCTTTGGAATCACTACTAAATGTTAGGAATGGCCTCTAGGAGTGTTTTCAAGTGTTTTGAATTTATTTGATATTTTTTAATAATATTTAAATATTTATTTCAATTAATTATTAAATTTCCCAAATTATGAAATTATAGCCAAATTTAAAGTTTGGTTAAGGAGGTTCAAAATTTTCTGGATTGTATGCTTACTTATGTTCAATTTGAACTATTATTTGTTTTTATATTTAATTTGGATTTGTTTGATTTTTTTGAAGTTTCATGCCCCCTAAAGGTGTTGATTTTTATTTTGATTAATTTTGTGACCTAATAAAGTACAAATTCAGTGAAACTAAAACCTAAAGTTTATGGTCATTATGTTTATTGTTCCGAATTTTCACCCCCATTGCATGTGTATAAAATTTCTTTTAATTTTTCTAAGTTCTCTAGATAAATTCCTTAATTTTTGTGCTTTGGTGGCACTAGTACCAGGTAGGATTGAATATTGGTCCAACTAACCCTTTGAAATGTAGATATAAATAAATCACACCAGAAAAATTAATGAGACCTAAATCTAAGTGCATTAGAAGTGTTGAATTTCATAGCAGTTGGGTTAAGCCATTCCCTCAATTACCTATGATTAAGCTATACTTAACAATATCATATAAATGGTTTATATGCATGAATGAAGCTAATGTTCATTGATAATGAATCTTTAAATTATAAATTAAATTCTAACATTTACCCTAAAAATTTAGTAATTATTAAAATAAAGCTTAAATAATTCCATGAAAATTATTGGATGTCATGAAGATGCCCTAATTCATCCAAGAAAAATTTATGCTCAGTTAGCTATGTAATTAGAGAGCAATTAGGGATTTTAATTAAATAATATAACAAAAATTACTCTCTATACACTTAGAATTTTCCCCTTACTTTATTTTTGAATGAAATGGGGCTTAATTATGAAGAAAATGATATATTACACTAAAATTTTGGTTAAGTATTTTTTTTAATAAATTTTTGAATATTTTATTAATTAAATCCACATAATTAATCTATATTAATTGAGTTTTAAAATGGCGATGGTGGCTATTATGCACGCGACATCCTCTGAATTGTTATATTTAGAATGCACAGTGGTGACATTTAATGCCAATGATTATTCTTTTTTTTTTTTTGAGAAGATGCAAAGAGAAATATTATTGAATAAGAAATAAAAAGAGCTAGACAAAGTTAAGATTATCACATTCCTCCTTCAACAATTTGAAGAACATGGGAGGAATGCAATTGATAATCAAGTTATTCCAAGTATAATCACCCAACCTAGCATGGTTAGCACAATAATCGGCTAACTTATTGCAACCTCCCTTCACAAATTGAAAAATGACTTGATTGAAATTCCTAAGAAAGAAAAAATCAAGTAATTCAGATTGGTTAGTTACAGCTGGACCCTTTTTAAAAATGCCTTGGATGTGCTTCATAACATTGTAGTTATCCTCTTCTATAATGATACCTTTAGCTTCATACATCCATTCTTGAGTAAACTTCTTTACAGCTATCAAAGCATCCAATTCAAAAGCTGAGATATCCAAGTGAACTCTTTTGAAACCAAAGGCAAATAAAAATCTACCTTTGTTATCTCTAATTACTCCACCAATTCCTTCAGAGTAATTGCTGTCAAGAGAAGCATCCACATTTAGTTTGATCCACTCGGTTGGAGGGGGTTTCCAAGCATTTTGAACAACAATTGCTGATTAGAAACCCAGTTGACCGAAATTAGATCTTGGCTAAAAGATAAAGATGCAAAGCTGGCTGCATTTGCTGGAATAGATGATATGTTGTCTTCAACCGACCCATGCACCCGTTTTTTTCTGCTTTTCCAGGAGAAAAATACTGCAGAATAGTATACATTGGCTTTAAAAGGATTGTAACTAGATAGCTTAGAAAGCCAAATAAAATAACTCTCCAAATTGGTGAATGCAGGGATATCATAACCCCAGCTTCTTAAAGAAATAATGATCTCATTCATGAAAAAACATTTAACAGCTAGATGACTAGCGTCCTCAACATCAGCACATCCTCTTGGGCATCCATTATGATTGATAATCCTTCTATACATTAAGAAATCATTTGTTTGAATTGCTTTGTGAATTAATCTCCACCAAAAGATATTAACTCTTGGCCTCAACTTTAACATTTTAAGCCATCTCCAGTTAGCATCCTCTTCCTCATTTAAGTTGTTATATTCAGAAATAAATGCTGCAATGGATTTTCCAGAATATTTATACATGATTTCTGCTTCATCTTCATGAGTTGCAACATTAGAAGGAACCAAAGAAATTAAGTCTGCTAACTCTTTACCGAATGCCTCATACAGTTTAATGATGTTCTAGTTCCCATCTTTAAGAAAATACTTCGAACAACATTGATCTTCATGTAAGTTGGATACAAATGTAGGCCATTTATCTAAACACTTGTCAAGGATCCAAATATCCTTAGTAGTGTTGATGTGCTCACCATTAAAAACCTTCCATCTAATAACTTGTTCCAGAATTTTGCCTCCAGAATTTATAATTTTCCATGTTGGTGAACAACCAACTTTAGCTTCAGAAAAAAAGAAAAAATTTCCCATATTTTGCAATGAAAATTCTGTTCAATAAAGGTGAGGATTTGGATAACAAATTCCAAGCAAATTTGGCTCTCCACGAACCAACTTTATCAGTAGCCGACACAACACCTTCCCCTCCAAATTTAATATGCTTACAAAGTGTTTTCCATTCCACATAGTGTATTCCTTTGCTCTTGTTCTATTTCAACCAGAGAAAATCTCTACACAACTTGTCAAGGTCTCTTAACACCCCCATTGGCACAAGGGAATGTGTAGATATGAAAATAGGAATGGATAGAAGTGCCGTTTTAATCAATTGAATTTTACCATCTAAAGTGAGAGATAGATTACCCCAAATGTTGAGTTTATCAAAAGCTTTTTCAAATAAGTCTTTGAAATCAGAAGCTCTAAGCCTTCTCATAGCCATACTTGATGCCGAGATAATTCAATTTACTAACAGCTTTGAATCCAATTAATTTGGATAGAATTCTGGACTTATCTTTGTGTACAGCTTTACCGAAAATCAAGGAAGATTTCTATTTATACATATTCTGGCCTTTCCAACCGCTGTACTTCTTAAAAATCTTTAATAACATTTCTCCTGTTAGCTTCCGCAAAAATAATGATATCATATGCATATTGAAGATGTGAAACTTTTTTTGCATTCGGTGCCACCTTCACTCCTATTTCAGCTCCATCTCTATTGAATGCTTCGGTGAGAATCTGAGAGCACATGATAAACAAATAAGGGGATAGAGGGCATCCCTGCCTAAAGCTACATTCCGCTTGAATCCAATTAGTATTTCTACCATTAACATTAACAGAATACTTGGTGTCCACCACACATTGGATTAAGAGATTAGCAAAAGACCTTGGAAAACCAAAAAGTTCCAAAACATTTTTCAAGGTGTTCCATCCCATACTATCGTATGCTTGCTCCATGTCCACCTTAATGGCCATCAACCCTTTCTTAACTTTTGAGTTTCTAAATTTATGAAATATTTCTTGAGTGAGCAAAATATTCTCTGAAATGGATCTTCCTTTGATAAAAGCTACTTGATTTTCTGAGATAATCTTTGGAATAATATTTATAATCCTATTCAATAACATCCTTGCCACTATCTTATAGATAGAATTGCATAGACTAATAGGTCTATAATTAGAAGGAGTTAAAGGATTTTTTATTTTAGGAATAAGAACCACATTTGTTTCTCTCCATTCATTACACATCAATCCGGATTTAAAAAAAATAGGCAAATAGCCTTCCAAACATCAGATTTAATGATAGGCCAATAGTATTTAAAAAAGAGTAGGAGATAACATCCATACCAGGTGAAATATTGCTCTCGAAGTGTTATATAACATTCTCCAATTCTTCTTCAGTGAAATCTGACATCAGCCGTTCCTTAGCAGGTTCTTCAATAATTCTAGAAATGCTTGGCCAACCAGAGAAAGAGCAGGTTCTGAATTTCCATTTATCATGGAAATAATTAGAGAAGATTTCTTCAATGCAGCTTTTATTTTCAGTTAGAGAGCCATCTGAGCTTTCAATTTGCTTAATAAAGTTGAAGTTACGCCTTGCCGAAGCCACCGAGTGGAAGTTTTCAGAGTTAGAATCACTTTCCTTATACCATTTAATTTTAGCTCTTTGCCTCCACCAAGAGCTTAATCTACCCAATGTAGAATTCAATTCCTTAATTTTGAATCTTAACAAAGCTATTTTGTCTTTTGAAAGACTCCCTGAATTGTCCTCCTCCTCTTGCAAAGACATGATCTCTGCCTTCAAATTATCTTTCAAAATGTTAAGATTTGCATGCTTGGCTTTACTCCAGTGAAATAGAGCTTTAAGGACTCTTTTGAGTTTGAGATTTAATTTCTGGACGTCATCTCCACCCGATGGCTTATTCCAAGAATTAGCTACAATTCCTTTAGAAGCTAGATAGGAGATCCATATTTCTTCAAATTTCAGTCTTCTATTCTTCTTAAATTCTGAACCACAAATGCTGATGGCTATTGGACAATGGTCAGAAGAAATTCTTCCAAGATGACGAACTGCTACCGATTGAATGATATTTAAAGCAGCTGAATTCAGTAAACACCGGTCTAACCTTTCAAGGATGCGAGCTCCACCAATTTTATTGTTACACCAAGTAAATTTTGGACCAATGATCCCAATATCATGAAAATCACACCTCTTCATAAACATTTGCATATCTTGAGGGCCTTGAGGAAAAACAAATCTCTTCCCACCTCTCTTCTCCTCCTGTGAGAGAATGCAATTAAAGTCACCTCCAATTATGCAAGGTATGTTAGAATTAGAAAATTTTTGAAGATCTTCCCAGAGATGTCTTCTTTTATATACTTCTTTGCTTCCATAAGCAGTGGCAATAAGCCATTCACTTCCATTATGCATCTTCAATTGGCCAATAACAACTTGATTAGAAAAATGGATGGTATTTAAATTACATATGCTTCTCCATTCCTTTTTTGTAATAAAATATTGTCTCTTCCCAAAGAATTAAGTTCTTTGATGAGTTTACCTTTGCTTCTCACATGATCTTCCATCTTGACTGTTGTATGAACATTTGGAGAAGATTTATCAATTTCTCCTTCTTCAAGATCTCCTACATCATCCACCATGTAAGATTCATCTTCTAGATTGAGACCTTCCAGCAAATTGAACTTATTCAGATCTCCATCTGTATTAGAATTATTTGAAGGAAGCAGAACTGTCATCTTCGAATCTCTGTTTTCTCCTATTAAGAATCCACTCATTAAGAAGTCTTCTTTCAAAATATCTTCCTTGTTGACTTAAGGATTAGGATTCATCTTGTTCTCTACATTCATATCCTTCTCAGCATCAGGATCAAGAATACCTTCATCAACTCTATCAAGATCAAATGCAGAATCCTTGCCAACTTCTTCATTAACAGAGCTTATTGACGGCTTGGAGTATGATTTCTGAACATAAACATTTTTGGTCTTCCTGTAGGTAGATTTTTTGATGATTTCCTTCTCCTTAACAAATGTTGGCTTCCTCCTTCTCCATGAATTCTGGACTAGGATCCATGGCCCATAATCTTTATTAGAATCTGTAACTTGCTAAGACCGAATGGTAGAAGCCAGAGTTTCCTTATCCAATGTTTTAGTTGTATCCGTTTGATTTGTTAACATCCCATCTCTACAATTGGCCACAAGATGACCAATTTTCCCACACTTGAAACAAAAATTGGAAACTTTCTCATATTCTACCTTTTGAAAGAAGCGACCAAAGGATCCTTCAATCCAAACTCCCTTAGGAAATTGCTGATCCAGTTGCATACGAACGTAGATTCTTGCATACTCCCTCTTGCTCCATTGAAACATATTGCCATCAATCCACAGTGGAACTCCAATTTTACTAGAAATTCTAGTCACATTTTCTTCATCCCAACAAATAATAGGGAGATGAGGAAATCTGACCCAAATTGGGGATGATAGACCTTTTAAGGAGGTAGGAGAAAACATTTGAGACCATTTGTCAATACCCATGATATGACCATTTACATACCATGGACCACCTTTCAACACTTTATCAGCAGCATCCTTGTCAAAAAAAGAGCATAAAGTCCAGTCAAGTCCAAGGGAAGTAATATGGAACTTCCCAAATTGACTCCATTGGCGATGAAGCTCTCTAGCAATCACATAAACCGGATAATTATCTTCAAAAACCTTTACCACTAAAGACAATTATAATTTGTCTGCATTTATTTTCAAACAGTCTTCATTCAATTTAACAGCATCACCATCATCTGAAAGAAAAGATTCATTTCCCTTGAAGGAAACTTTGATAATAGGTTTCCTGGACCAAGCATCAACAGGATTGGGCAAAGCTTCATTACTGAAGTTATCCACCTCGGCATTACCTCCAATATCTGATGAGTTAGACATCAGTTTCTGAGAAAATGAGATTCCTTTCTCAACTAATTATGGCTTGAACGCCGTATTATTGAATTTATTCACAAACAATTTCAGCCCAGACGAAGTCGACGCTCCATTGTCTGTTAAATCCTTTTTGTAACCAACTGGAGACTTGAAGATCTTCATAGGAGATTGATTCAAAACCCCTTTTCCTTTGCCTTGTACAATCGGAGATTTCTTCTGAACCATTTAAGACGGTTCATTAATTTTCAAAGTACCGATTCTTTGAGCTCTGATCAAACCATCTTCACGAACGGAAATGCGAGAAGTATCGCCAGGCAGAATCCGGCGGTCTGCGGTGAACGCCGCGTCCAATCCCAGCGACGGAGAATAACCGCCACCAAAATCGGACCATTAAAATTTGAATTTTAACGAAGTTTTCTGTTAAAAATCCCGGAGCTTCTCTCACTACTTTCAAAGGGGATAGGGGTAAGGGTGATAATGCAAATGATTATTCCACCACACAATAATTTTCATTTAAAGTTTGGAAGCGGCCATACACGATTTCACTTATCTACATCATCGCCGTGTGGCTACAATTTGATCTGTTCCTATTTTGAATCAACGATCTTGATTTAACTAGATGATAATTTGAGTGATCAATAGGTTAGCATGCTTCATACGTGAAATAGAACAATGGGATATGAACTGTTGATCTTTCAATCGATCATCCAGATGTTGTACAATTTTTTTTTTAATAAAATGCAGCAAATTGCATTAAAGAAGAAAAGTAAAAAGAGCAATTACAAGCTAAAGATTATTGACTCCTCCTTTAATAAAGACACAAATAAAGGAGGAATCTTGGAGGAACTAATATCATCCCAAATAAAAGAACTAATAAGGGCATAATTAGCACATAAGTCTGCTAACTTATTACCACTTCTATTAATACTATTAAAAATAACCTGATAAAACTTATTAGATCTATGAATACTATCAAAGAATGATGTACCTTTTGATTTCTCATGTTGAAGGAACATGATAATATTATCATTGTCCCCCTCTATAATTATCCCCTTGTACTTGAACATCCAATCCTTAATGACTTCCTTGATAGCATGAGTAGCCAATAACTCTAAATATGAGATATCCAAATGAATTCTGGTCATACCAAATGCTAAGAGAAATCTGCCTTTACATTCCCGAAATACACCTCCTATTACAGCTTTGTATGATGGAAGTAAGGAGGCATCTATGTTAACCTTGATCCAATCGGGTGGTGGAGGGTGCCAATGAAGATCACACAACCTAGATGGTTGATTAACACCCAATAAACCTGAATTTCCATTAATTCCATGAACAACAACAGAAATATAGCTTGAGGCTTTTGAAGCTATATTCAAAGAGGTATCATCTATACCTTTATGAATGAGATTATATATGGATTTCCAATTGAAGAAGATTAAATAACAAAATAAGAAAACAAAGAATGAATTTTCTTTTGATAGCCAATAATAGCAATCAGGTAGATTAGAAAAAATTGGGATTAAAAAACCCCATTCCTTAAGGACCCGAGTAACTTCCTGCTGTTTAATGCATTTGATCACAATATGCTCAATATCTTCTTCTTCATTGCAATCTCTAGGACATCCTGAATACATGTGTAACCTTTTATAAACTAGGTATTGGCAAGTTGGTAATGCACCATGGAAAATCCTCCACCAGAACATTTCCACTTTAGTCATAAGTTTAATTTTTCCAATCCAATTCCAGTAGTTGGCTGTACATTGATTCTGTAACATTGCTACACATACCATAGAGGATACAGATTTTCCAGATTTCTGCATAATCAAATCCAGATAATCTCTTTCATTTTCAGTTTTAATGTCAACTTGGCAAACAAGTTTGGCAAGCTCAGGGCCCATATTTTGCTTCAGCTTTTCAGAATTCCAGCAACCATTAACAATAAAGCTATCAACCATGAAATCTCCAATATCATTAGTGAGGAAAGTTGGCCATTTGATAATGCTTTTGTCCAGGATCCAGCAGTCATGTAGCATGTTAATTTATTTTCCATCTGATATTGACCATCTCACAATAGACTTCAAAGAGTTCCATCCATCTAACACAATTTTCCAAGAAAAATAACCATTTTTTAACCCTGTTTCATCATCAAACATGAAACCGTATTTAGGAAAAAGGACCTTATAAAGTAATGATTCTTTGTCTTGAATATATCTCCAAGCTATCTTAGCTCTTATTGGGCCAACCTTGTTAGCACAAGAATGAAGTCCTCTACCTCCCCATTTAAGAGGGAGGCACATGACTTCCCAGTTTATGAAATGAATTCCATGCTTCCCATTAGATTTGTTCCAAATAAAACTTCTACTAATTTTATCAACTTCATCACGTATGCTTTTAGGAATTAATGCGTTGGTGCTATGGAAGATGGTAAAAGAAAGTAACATAGATTTTACCATCATTACCTTCACGGCCAAAGACATCAATTCACTTCCCCAAATGTTTGTAAATTTAAGAGCTTTATCAATGATGAATTGGAAATCATTTCCAGTCAATCTTCTAAGAGCTAGTTTTAAGATAATTGATCTCTTTAACAACTTTGAACTTCAAGATCCAGGCAATCCATTTTTTCCTTCTTCTTTTTTCCATCTTACTAAAAAGAATAGAAGATTTGGATTCATTAATCTTAAGACCTATCTAGTCACAAAATCTTCTCAAAATCCCCTTGATCTCCTTATTGTTTTGAGGCTTTTTATCAGAAAAAATGATCACATCGTCTGCATACAACAAATGAGAAATCCTTGGGCTATTGTTGCTCACCAGAATGCCTAAATAAGCTTCCTTTGCTATGAAAGCATTGGTTAATAATTGGGAGCATAGGATAAAAAGATAAGGGGACAATGACACCCTTGACGGAATCCACTATAAGCATGAATCCAATTTGAAGCATTTCCATTAATTAAAATAGAGAATTTAGGGTCTTTGACACATTCCAAGATAAGATTTGAAAATTTGGATGGAAATCCAAAATATTCCAAGGCTTTTTTAAGATACGGCCACCCCATCGAGTCATAAGCCTTCTCCATATCAATTTTAATAGAAACAAAGCCTTTAGAAGATTTAGAGTACCTGAATTTGTGCATAATCTCTTGAGCCACCAAAACATGATCCATCAGCGATCTCCCCTTCAAGAAAGGTGCTTGTTCATTGGAGATGATTTTTGGAATAATAGAAGCCATTCTATTAATGAGAACTTTAGCCACCACCTTATAGATTGTATAACAAAGACTAATTGGTCTGTAGTTGTAAGGATATACCGAATTTTACACTTTAGGAATAAGAACAATGAGAGTTTCCTTCCATCTAAGATCCATCTCAGAATTTTCAAACAAAAAATTCACTGCATTCCAGAAATCCTTCTTGATGATCTCCCAAAAAGCCTTGAGGAAGCAATATGTAATACAATTTTTTCCTGGAGATATAGAGTTGGAACTATGCTTAATAACATCTTCAACTTCTTCTATAGAGAAAGTCTTGTTAAACAAATTTACATCATCCTCTTTTAAGGTATCTCTCGGTTCAGGCCATCCTTGCAAAATACAATTTCTGTTTTTCCATTTAGCTTTGAAAAACTGCACAAAGATATCTTCAATTCTGTGTTGATCTTCCACCATCTCCCCATTACCATCTTTAATTTTATCGATGAAGTTTGAATTTCTCCTAACCGTTGCAAAAGACTGGAAAAATTTAGTGTTATGATATCCCTCCAATATCCACTTGACTTTAGCTCTTTGCCTCCACCAAGAGTCTAACCG